TTTTCCAAGTCTTCCAGTGACTGAAATCCAGGTATTTCTTCAGCAGACCTTGATGTTACCTCCCAATAATCCCATTTAACTTGAGATCTCACATAAAGATTATATTTTAAGTGGGATGCTCTTTGCTACTTAATATAAAAGCTGTGGCAGCGAAGCTTATCCTAATGAGCAAACCCAAGTTACTACTTGCTTGTAGCCTTGCTCCTACTTTACAATGCGTGTGCTTCCAGCCGTTGCTGATGCTAACAAATAGATGAATGTTCATTGCAAGCACTGCTTTCTTTGTAGTTGTCTGTAGTAAGAAGTGGTTTATTGCTCCGTAACTGGTGTAAAAATGCAGGTGGGGTGTGAAATAACATAAAGACTTTAAAATAAGCTTAAATTTTAGCTACTTTGAAAGGATTTGAGCTGTTTCACTGTGTTTTCAGCAGCTGGTAGAGGAGCAGTTCCACAACTCCAGTAAGAAAATGATCTACTATTGCTTCTAGTAATTTGTCATTGAAATACAGTATTAAATTGCTGTATTTTAAACTCTATGAATTAAAATTGAAAATAGAAAGAGGTTAAAGTATAAGTTTATTTTTACTGGATTCTCAAGCCTTGGACTTGAGGCTTGCCAAATCTTCCAGGGAGGGTTTGGAACTACAAAGCCATCAGCTGAAGTCTGGAGGATATTTCAGCTGTAGGTGACTTCTGTTTGTCACAGCTAAACTTGTTGCTGTCAGGAGCTAAAGACTAAGGAGAACTGGCTTAGAGGTATTGGATTCCAGCCCTTTTATGTTGTAAATCCAGGGATCTGACCATGTAGTGCTTGGTAAAGCGGTAGTTACCTCTACCTAGCTACTTACTAGATATGTGAGCATTACACCAAGTTCTATACTTGGAAAGAGAATTCCTATTCCACTTCCAATCTACACATTAACTACTTGAATATCTCTTTTCTTGTTGTAACATATGATCAGGGCAGGAAAACACAAATCAGATGCAATGATTGTCATTTTAATTTAAGATCTTTTTGATAAACTAAATAAATCAGGAGATCTCCAGTTCTTGGTCACGTTTAATAACCAGAACCTGGGGTTTTACACCAAAAGGAGTGATAGTTTTTCAGTCAGCTCCATCTGCTGGCTTTGTAGCAGCAGAACACACCGAGGTGTAAGCAACCTCTAAAGATACTCAAGAATTGGGACATCTTTCTCTAGATGTCTTCCCGAACCAGTAGTTTGGGATATATAACAAGTACTTAAGGACTAATCCACTAAATTGGGGTCAAATCCCTGGTTAACGTCTAAGATTCTTCCAAAATCATCATTTTTTAAGTTGTCAGTTGTCTCAGAAGTGAAATTTGAAGTGTTTTCAGCCAGTGCCTTTATTTTTAAATCATAATATTCAGAATACTTGTCAGAACAGCAGAAATAGGTTATGTTGACTCAGAAACTGTTCAGGCAGTTTAAGTTCTTTAGAACAGAGGAAAACCAGAACTAAATGGCTCTTTAACCATGAATAACAACAGTGTGATGGCTTTTAACACTCTTGTATTACGTAAGTCACTAAAGTCTGCTGCATGCCCTTGCTTTATTCACTTTTGCTGCCACTACATTGTTGTGCTTATCTTTTAATGCTGCCACTCTTTGGAAGATGAGGACAAGGAAACCTCCCTGCCCAATAGAGAAAGTGTGGGTAGACAAGCACAAGTACGATGAAGCAGAGAGACTGCACTATGAAAGAGAAGCCATGCTAGCTGCTGCAGCCCCAGAGGAACTCCAGGAGGTAGAGGCTGTCAATGGAGTCTGCAATGAGGACTCTGTTGATGGTGAATTCAAAGGAGACCTGAAGAAAACCAGGAATGGGAAGAAACAAAGGAAAAGGAAGCGTTCTCCCAAACCCAAGAATGTGGCCTCCAAGTTAGACTCTGTCCTGACTGGTCTGTTAACTGACCATGTGTGGTTTGACAAACCCTTCTATGATCGTGCTGAGAGCATATACAGGAGGAAACTAGCAGATGGGCAGAGCCAGGAAGCACCTGAGACTGAGCTAACTGCTGAGCAGTCCCCTGGCCAACATATTCCTAAGCCAAGGATGCTTTCAGGAGCCCTGTCCTGCTCCCATGGGAGTCTGTCTGCATGTCACCATGTTGTTCAGGGGGTCTGGGTCAACAAGGTTGACTTTGATAAGGCTGAGAAGGTGTTTCTTGAGAAATCTCAGTTCTTTGTGCCTCCAAATGTCCTAACCATCCCATCGGTGTGGTCAAGTGATGGCAGTGCTGGGATGAGGACACCAGATGAGGGCTATGGTACAGCCCTGCCTACTCCTGCTACCCCAGGCTTGGCTCCAGACATCGCTGCCGGTTCTTCTCCTTCCTTTGATACCAGTTTGTCTGACTCTGAGCACCAGACAGTAAATGGCAAGCCCCAGCTTTCAAGCTTGCAGGCTCTCATGTCAGAGGTGTGGTTGGAGAAACCTCTCTATGATGATGCTGAGAAGAGCTTCTACGAGAACATGTTTGATGGGCATCCATCGGGCAAAGGCCGACAACAGCAACGCGGGTGTCCCGAAGCATCGAAGAACCACCATGAGGACAAGAAGAACCACAATGCTGGAAAGCAGACAGACATCAAACACATTGAGATGGCCACCAACACTCTGCTTCCCAGTGGTGCTGAGCAACCTCCATCTACCACCTTCTTCCTGCATGAGGACAGTGAGACTGTGTGGCTTAATAAGCCAACATACGACCGTGCTGAGACACGATTCTATGCAGCCGAGGCTCTGCGAATGTCAAGAACAGGAGAAACTCCTTTGGGAATGCAGGAATCCGCAGTGGTAGAACCCTCCCAACCAGCTGCTTGTGCTTCAAGCCTACTTGCTCCAGAAATGAAGTAGGAGAAGTTTATTCTGGGGTAACACTTACACATGCAAAGCTCCTGGGTCAGGATTGAGCTGAAAGAGTTTGCATGTGTAGAAAATGGTCCTTTGTGTCTGCAGGACCAAGGGACCTGGCTGGGGCAGAGTAATTGGGGGAAGCTCCTTCAAGGAACCCCCTTCTGATGGATGCTGGTGCCTAAAGGTGTGGTGCCAGAGGCACCAGTGAGGGCTGGTGAGCTGAGGTTTGACTCCCTCTTTACATGGGGGGGAACCCAGGGCCATGTCTCTGCATTCCCTATTACATACAGAAGGTCATTAAAGTGAGAACTTTGAGTGATTCATGCTTTAAACAGGCCTGTTGAGATGACAGAAGATGCAGTGTTTCATTTTTGAGTTTAAGAAGTTAAAATAGTGGCTGTTTGCTTTGTATTTGTGTTAAAATGCCACAGGGGTTGCTTCAGGGAAATAGTTCAGCCCCAAGTCTCCTGCAGAGCACATAGTCATTGAGCAGCATGTGAGAGGTGTCTGCGTTTGAGCATCACTACCAGTATCCAGCTTGAATAAGGCTTGGGAATGACAGTGAAGTACAATTTAGGGCATCAGTGTGGTGGGAGCATGTGATGTGTTTGTTTCATGGAGGGAGAAGGTGGTTTGGACTCTTCAGTCTGGAATCTGCTGTTCATTTTGGGATGCGACTAACTGGATTTGTTGGAAAGGTTTTATGATCTGTACATCAAGTGCTATTGGGGGGTTACAGACACGCTTTAGGTGAACTTTTCACCCTCTCCTGTTTGGGATCATGTTCTCTTTCTGTTCAAGGCCAAGTTGGGCACAGGGACTTGGAGCAACCTGCTCTAGTGGAAGGTGTCCCTGCCCGTGGCAGGGGTTGGAGCTGGAGGAGCTTTAAGGTCCCTTCCAACCCAAACCAGGCTGGGATTCTCTATTAGTTACTAATTGGCAGCTCAAGTCTTGGAGGTTTTAGCTCAGAGAATGGCATCAGTGTAGAGGAGATGAACAGTGTGGTGGCCTCTGGTCTCTTCTGGATGGGTAGATGAGAAGGGTGGTTCTTCTGCAGAAGACTTATCTGTTGGCTCCTGTGGAAGTGTTCTACTAGAGAGCTGTAGGGTCTGAGGTTTGAAACTAGTTGCTCTGTGTTGTATGGTGGAAGCTGGTTGTGATGCTCCATCCCTGCTCTCCCCACCTCCTCAAGCTGATGTTGGCTCTGTAGCTGTCTCCTGGCTTGAAATAAGAGCACATCCTCTTCCTGTTGCAAGGGCTCCATCATTCCACTTCCAACCCAGAAATGAGACTACCTTTGGAAGCTGCTGCACTGAGGGCAAATACCACCATTCCACAGCAGCATTAGGGTGTTTCATGCTGTTCCTCATGCAGTGACAGGCATCTGTCCCTTGCAAGTGCTACATTGCTGCTGATTTTAACTTACAAAAGGTTGCAGCAGCTTCCAAAGGGGTAGGTATGTCATTGTGAATCGTGTGTGTAGCTGGATTCCAGGAGGCTGATCCCTGTGGATGTTAAGCTGAGCTGTTCCTTAATGAGGGTTCAGTGGTGGTGCGCCTAGTGAAGCATGACATGACCAAGTAGAACAACCACAGTAGCCTAAATCACCTACTAGTTGCTGTTTGTGAGTGGTGGTGTCCAGACTTGCCTGTCACAGAGCACCCCCTTGTTGGCACGTGCTGTTTGGAGCTGGGTGTCCTTCAGGCTTTGCTTTCACCATGGCCAGGCATCTTAAAAGCACTTGATCCTCATACACAAGACATCTTAGCAGCAGAGTCCCATGTACTTGATTCTACATGTAGAATGATGTAGAAAGTCAAGCTCCAAAAGCTGTTTCTTGAGGAAGAAGGCACAGATCAGCTGGTTTAGTCTGTCCTCACTTGGTGGTGTCACTAAATGCAGGTCAGGCAGATGGGTGGAAGATTACTGCTCTGCTTTCATAACAGGATCCCATTGACTTAAAGCTTTCCACTGGAGGGGGAAGCACCAAGCAGAGAGCTGTAGGCAGAGCTTTATGGGGGAAGAAAACACTCTTCTGACCAGCTCATTGCAAGCTGCCACCTTTCTGTACTGCCAGAAACTCACTCTGGGCTTCTTCTTTCCCTTCCTGCAGCACAATGGCAGTGGACTACTTTCTGCATGAGAAGATCTGGTTTGACAAGTACAAATATGATGATGCTGAGAGAAGATACTATGAGCAGATGAATGGGCCGCTTGGCAGCTCCTCACACCAGCAGGTAATGCTTGTTCTTAGATGGGGTTTAGCAGTGCTGGAGCCCTGAGAGCCAGCACAGAGCAAGTGAAAGGACAAGATCCACCTGGATGTGGACTTTTGTGTTAATTCCACTCTTGGTGCTGCTTTTTCCAAGTGTGAGAGTCTTCTCTGGTGCTCTTTAAGCCCCAGTTATGCCCCTTTTGTCTTCTAAAAGAGCATCTTCCGTGGCCTGTGAAATATTTCTCCTGTACCACCAGTGTACTGGAGATCAGATGCTCGTGTAACAGCAGGAGAACCGGTTGCAGCAGTTAATCTGTTCATGCTGCTGATGCTGTCTGGGATCTGGAGGCACAGTTTTAGCTCTGTTCCTTTGGAATGGGCTGGGTAAAGAATGGACCTGTCCCCATTCAGCCATGGAAGGTGGACTTCTGCTGCCATTTTGGAGCAGCTGAGCTTTCCTTGGCAAGGGATATGACATAGTGTTTGAAGAGAGGCACCATGGCTCCAAAGAGACCAGGAATTAGGTTCTTCTCTGTGTTGTATCCCATGAATTACTCAATGTGCTCCTGCAGAAGACTCCACCGCAGTACTGGTGAGTTGGGGGAAACTGGTGGAGGGGAATCATGGTGCTGCTGAAGTGGTTCAAGCTTAAATATTAGCCTGAAATGACTCTTTAAAGGTGCAGATCTATCATAACCTCTTCCTGCTGTGTAAAGAGCTGTTCACTGCTTATGCCTTTGGTTATCTGGAAGCTGTTTAGAGCTTTAAATGGCTTGCAAGTGTTTAAGGGGAAGCTTTTTGCTTGAGTAAGAGCTTCTAG